GTCTGACTCAAAACTGGAATGTTCTTTCTACTGTGCTGGCTGATTTTCTCTACATCACAGTTCTAGTCTCTTGGACAAGTGTCACCACTGTCTCCATGAGGGACTGGCTGGCGACTGCCCTATTCTAGGCAGTGCTGATACTCTGGACCGTTCTTGATGAGCTACGTTTGCAGTTAAATCACCAGGAGTTCACTCTACAAATATCCCCTGCCCTGGAAATTCACCCTGCTCGCCACTGACCCAGCTCCGAGATATTCAACTTGCTGCAGCTTTATACGGTAGTGAGGCGGGTGTCTCGATTGTCACAAGTCCTCAGCCAGTTGTCTATTGTCTACAGTCAGTTACACTCAACATTTACTGAGCACTCACCATGTATCAGGTGTTCTGCTAGGTCCCAGGATACAATAATGAAAAAGGAGAAGGAGAAACCAATGGAGAAGATAGACGCCCTATCACAGAATTACCATGAGGTATGGTAAGTGCTTAGAATTATTGAAGGAAATTAGTCATTTCATCATTTATGCAACCATTCACTATTCCCTTTATGACTATTTATTTTCTGAGTTCCTGGGATGTGCCAGGCAACAGGTCCACTCTCTCATGCGTGAGCCAGGGCTCTGGTGGAGGCCACCAGCCTGAATCTGCCCACCCCCTCCTTCATCCCATCCCAGACTCCATCTTGCACTGCAGGGGCCTCTCATGTCCATGTCTGGACATCCTAGCCTGCCTTTACAAGTTTTTAACCATCTCCCCCTAGAACCACTTATGACCTGGAACAAGCTTTTGCGAACCCTAGAAGCCAGCTTGGGTCTGTTTGGGTAGGGAGTGCTGGGGTCTTAAGGCCCAGAGAGTGGTAAAGAAAGGGAGGAAACGGGCTTTGGGTGGGCCAGTCCCGTTGGCTGTATTCATTCATTCCCCTGTGGGTAAGGGCAAGGGCAGAGAAGGCCCAGAGGGGTACAGAGGATGGGCCTCAGACCAGCAGCCTCTGCATCACCTGGAAACATGTTGGAAATGCAGAATCTCAGGCCCCTCCCCAGACGCTGGGAATCAAAATCTGCATCTTAACACGCCAGGTGATCCTTGCGCACTTGTGGTTTGAGAAACACTGCTCTAAGGGCCCTATGTCTAATCCCCTCTTCACAAACGAAGAGTCTGGGGCTAAGGAACAGGGCGGAGGGAGGGGCACAGCTTGGGGCTGGGCTGCTGGGGTCTGAGAGTACACATCTGGGCACCTTGTATTCTCTAGTGGTGAATAAGTGCCAACGCAAATTTGAGAAAAAATACCTTTTCAGTAACTCCGATTGACAGGTTCCTGGATTAAGAGATTTCTAGTGAGTGATCCAAGCAAGAGGCTTCTATTACGTCACAGGCGAAGTAATTAAAGGAAGGTTAGTGATAATACTTCACTCCAGGAAGAAACTGGAGGGAGGGCTGAGAAACTTTTGTTTTCTATTTTATTTCTGGATCCAGTGCACTTAAGCTGGAGGAGATTTCCATAGCCAAAGTTAATTGTCCTTTCTTTACTTATTTATTCCCTACTGCATTCCATCGGCCTTTTCTCCCCCTTTCCTTAGGGCATTTTAGTTCCCCACCCTTTCTGATGCATTCATTTGGTCCTGTTTTTCTTCACTTCTCTGCATTTGCTTTTCTTAAGTCTTTCCCTCTACTCCAAACAACGTAAAACAAAGAGAAGTGAATGGGACAAGGTTGAGAAATATGGTCCGGTGCCAGTTTTATCCTGCTACTGATTCCCATCTACTAAAAATGTTTTTAAAAATGTAATTTTTATTCCTGTATAAAAATAGAAAGAATTGCATTTCCATTTTGCCAGTACCCTTCACCCAGTGACAATTATCAACATATTGTCAGTTGTGCTTCAGATTCTCTATCCTATCTTCACATCTCCATTTCTCCCCTCCCTCCCTCCCTCTCTTTCTTCCTCCCTCCACTCTCCTTCTCTCTCTTTTCTTCTCCATATCCTCCTTCCCCCTCCTTCTTTCTCTCCCCCCTCCCCTCCCCCCACTCTCTCTCTTTTTCTGGTGTTTATTAAAGCAAATCCCAGACATCATATCATTTAACTCATTTCCTATAGCATTTCCCGGAGGCCGTGAGGGCCACAAGAGAATGTAAGCTGAGGAAATGATCTCTTATGATTGCGTTCTTCACCAAAATATGGAATTTGTGTTACTGAGATAAGGGAAGATATAGAATTTCTTAAAACCTCGGCATAATACCCCAGATGGCGCAGATTGTATTTTCCATCTCCATGTCCTCTCCCTAGAGTCTTTGAGGGGGGTCTCTAAGAACTTTTTAATCTTCCTTTACTATGAAAGTAGTAACACAATAACAGCAACCTTGGATGTTTCTAAACCTAAAAAGAAGGGTATGTTCTCTTCCTGTTTGCAAACAGCATTCTGAGAGCATCACTTTTGCAGTATAAATCTGTCAGTGTAGAACTTGAGGAGATCTTCTATGACAATGAACCAAACACACTCCCCGCCCCAACCCCATGCAAGCCCCCAGAGCTGATTGTTGTGATGGTATAAAGTGGCTTCAGATCAGGACCTAGATAAGAAAGCATGGCGTACAGGTGCTTTAATGTTCACACACATCAGATCTAAGGAGTATCAAGTACTTTGGAGGTTTGGTTATTTTCCATTAGTAAATATGAACTAAATTTGAGTAAAATGTCTTCTAAATGAGTCAAACAGACAGGACTTTGAATGAGGGAATTAATTATAGCTCGTGTCCTAAGGAAAAGAATCCCACTGTGGCAGAGAGAATGCAATTAATGGGAGGTAAGTGCCAACAAATCATTCCCTAAAATATTAATGCTATCAAAGAACAGCTGGATAATGAGAGAAACTTGACCCTTGGGGGACTAGCAGAGGTTGCTGTAGAACTTTAGGTAGTTGTGATGTCATGGAATTCCTCTAAATTTAACAAAAATAATATTAAGAGGTGTGGTTCTGGGAAAGTTATTAGCAGTAAACATGTTTTTGTAGTTTTATCATCTTATTACGATCACTATATCTCATTGTTTCTGTGGCTCTGCATGACTTTCCTCCTTAATTGCTCAGGGTTTATACAATCCAAACAGCACTCCTTAAAAAAAAAAACAAGAAAAACACACCAAAAAAACCCCTTTACGGTGCTTTGTGACCACCTAGAGGGGTGGGATGGGGAGGGTGGGAGGGAGACGCAAGAGGGAGGAGATATGGGGATATATGTGTATGTATAGCTGATTCACTTTGTTATAAAGCAGAAACTAACACACCATTGTAAAGCAATTATACTCCAATAAAGATGTTAAAAAAAACCCAACAACCTTTAGGGCTGGCAAGGATTTTTTTTTTTGTACGTAAAAACAGAGTACCTAAGAAATTTCTGCAAAAACAATTTCCCATATGCTTAAGTTCTTTAAGTCAAGAAAAACTGTCTCATTGTGGATGAAAGTCTGAACTTAATTTGGTTTTACTTAATAACATATTATTGTCCCAAGAAATATCTAAGGAAGCAATAAAATATTTACATAGTGCTATTTAACATCTGAAATGTTGGGCATTATTTTTGCATTCTCATAAATAAATGCTAATCCCAATATTTAAAATCAGAAATCAGAAGTGATTATTTACTTGGAATATCCTTGAGCATACATTTTAAAACAGAAACCGTTTCATTCAGAGTTAAAAAAAAAAAAAAGAAATATGCTTCTGTGAACGAACTCGGACCCTCGGGAAGCCGCGGGCTTGGTGAACGCTTTTGACCGCACACTTTTATGGCTGGTGCGCGGCAAACTTTGTCTTCTTTCACTCAACTTGCCAACAGCTAAATCAGTGACACGGGCATTCAGCGTGTTTGACAAATAGGTGGAGATACGCGGGACATATTCACACGTACGAATAAACGATGACAGGAAGTTCAGGATGCCGTAAAAATAAATTCTTGAGTTGAGCCCAGGTTTCACATAACGCCAGTTTCATAAGGCACTTACGCCGCCAAAGGAGCAGTGCCCCTGAAAATAGCACACGGGGGACACATCATTTAAATAAATGTGTTTCTTTGCCCGAACAGAAGTTCAGATCTGCTCAATTATCATTAATTTCGTTCTTTTATTTCTTTTGCGGGCGCGAATGGAGAAGTCGTGCTCTTTGAGGTTTTGCGAGCTGCCCTCGGCAGGCGGAGGTGACCGGCGATTCTTCGCCCGGTGGCGTTCGGGTTAGGGGGGCGGGGGAGAGTGCGAGTGTGTGTACATTTGTGAAAATGTGCCGTCCCTTCTGGAAAAAGTGGAAACTTAGGTGGAAAACTCAGCGCAGATGTGGGCGGGCCCTAGAAAGTATGCTATCCGCCCAGAACCCTCAGAACAGGTGTCCCAGGAACGAGGCCAGATCTGTGCAACAGAAGATTGTACAAACCCCAGTTACCGAGTTCGTTTTTGATTACATCCCTAAAAAGCAAAGCCCTGGTCTCCACCCGCGCGCTAACGCGCGTGGATAGATGCAGAGACCCGGCGGCCCTGGCCCTCTGCGGAGTTTGCTGGGCTGTGCGAGAGCTGGAAGGTGTGCGTGGAGAGGGCCTGATGCCCCAGGTTTAGGGTAGAGTCCTGGGGGAGCGTGCTGGGCGGGGGTGGCCCGGAAAGGCGGAGGGGGGCGCGCGAACCAGAGGGCGCACAGGACCAGCGGTCGCGCCGCGCCCGCTGTGATTAGCCCCGGCGGCGCGCCCCGGAGGCGGACTCTTTCTTAACCCTCGCTCTCTCCCCCTCCCTCTTCCTTTTTAAAGGACGCCGTGGAGGCAGAGCTGTCAGCAACCGGGAGGCCGTTTGTACTTGGCCGCGGCCAGGCGGACTCCAGCTCCCGTGACAGACAGGGGCGGGGGGCAGGGGGGGCCGCCTGTCCCGGGGCTCCGCACGAGGGCATCTCCCATCCTCCTGCCTTCGGGCTCCGCTCTGGACCCGGCAACGGACGCAAGTCGGGGTACTGCGCGGCCCGGGAGTTGCCAGACCCGGGCGCGATGGCTCCTTTGAGGAGTGGGGCGGTAGGTGGCCGAGGGCTGGGCGCGCCCCTCGCGCCGGGAGCGTTATGAGCCGGGCAAAGGGCCGCTGCAGCAGCCCCAGCCTCAGCCTCGGCCGGCGCCTTCCGCCGGCCCTTGCCCACTCGCCCCCGCGCACCATGCCGACCCCCGGCCTGTGGAGCCCGCCGTGCAGCCCCTTCCTTCTCTCTGGCCCCCGCTAAACCTCGCGGGAGTGGCCTTGGCCGCCGGGGCAGCTGCCCAGGCCGCGCCCCGGGGGGAGGCGGAACCGCGGGGCGTCCGGAGCCCCGGCTCAGCCGTTCGCTCTCCAGCCGCGTGCCCCTCTCTGCCGCCCAGCGCGTCCGCGGCGATGGGGGCGCTGCTGGCGCTCTGTCTCCTCTTGGGCTGGCTGCGCGGGGGTCCGGCGGACGCCCAGCAGTCCGGAGAGTACTGCCACGGCTGGGTGGACGTGCAGGGCAACTACCACGAGGGCTTCCAGTGCCCGGAGGATTTCGACACGCTGGACGCCACCATCTGCTGCGGATCGTGCGCGCTGCGCTACTGCTGCGCCGCGGCCGACGCCAGGCTGGAGCAGGGCGGCTGCACCAATGACCGCGGCGAGCTGGAGCACCCCGGCATCACGGCGCGTGAGTGCGGGCCCACGGGGGGCAGACCCCGCCCGGCCGCCCGGGCTGCCGTGTGTGCCGGCCGGTGTGCGCGCGGACAGGCGCGCCAGGCTTTCCCGGGTCTGAGCAAAGGGGAGGCTAGAGGTGGGAGGATCAAGGGAGGAGTGGGTGGTCGCGTTTCAGGTCGGGCCCTATTCCTTTGCAGTCCCGATTCCCGCCACAAGCGGTTTCCGCGGGTCAGCCCAAGAGAAAAATTTCAAGGGACAGTGAGGACCGCGGAGCTTGCATCCGGTGACCCCGGGGAAGAGAGCGGGAGCCTCGGGCGCTCGCGACATTGCAGACAAGGGCTGTAGGGGCAGCGCAAGGCTGGACTTGGGTTTTAAAGGACGATGAGGGTGCCTCAGCGCGCGCCCTGGGCGCTCCGGGAGCTTTGAGAAGTGGCCATGGCGCAGGGAACGCAACTCTTGGGGCGCGCTTATCTGTAGCCTCACGGGCGTAAGGAACTTCAGACACTCTTTTTTTTTGGTGGCCTTTTGGTAGCGTTTCTAAGCCGCTGCCCTATTCTCCCGACTTCCTTTCATTTCTCTGCATCGAATTACCCTCTCCGGCCCACCCCCTATTGTCACGCTTTTCAGAAATGCCCAGGTCCTCCAGCTGGAGATTTAGAAACCGGGGTCGCAGGGGTTTCCCCGCCCCCTATTCTCACATCGGAAAACGCGGGTCAAATTTCCACTAACTTCAGAGCGGAATAAATCACGATCCCAGCAGAGAGATTTTACACCTTAAAAAAAAAAAAAAGAAAAAAGTTTTCCACCTGAATCGGAACTTCAGGGCAACCCTTTAGAGCTACAGGCGATGGTTTTATGGCCGGGAAACCGGAGGAGCGGGCGGAGCTAAGGGCCGCGACACCCCAGAACTCCGGAGCGGAGGTCTGAGGCCGGCAAAAGACGGTCCCTGGGAAAGACGGGGAGAGGCTGGAGAGGTAATTGATGGCGCTGGAGCCCCCGTCCCCCTGAGACTGACAACCCAGAGGAAAGGGGGGCCTGCCCTTCCTTAGAACCCCATTAGACTTCCAAGGAATTTAACTTTGGAGGGCAAAATACCAATCTGCAGGATTGGGGAAGAGGCTTCTGGGAAAAAGATGTTCAGTGGAAAGGAGAGAACTCTAGGCCGGCCTGGCCTGTTAGGAAAATACAAACTCTTTCCGTGGCTTTACTCCACTCACCCTGGGGGGCCCGGTTGCTCTCTGCAGAGCAATCGTGAGTGCCCGGCCTCCAGCAGGGACTCCATCCCGGCCTCCTCGGGCGAGCTCTGCAGCAGATGAGGCAGTCTCCTCTCTCACCAAGGCTGGGTGGGATCTGAGGAAGTCTCAGGACCCGTGGCTCTCTCGCTCACCAGCTTGTAACCTTGGGCAAGTTACTTAACTTCTCTGGGCCTCTTCTCAACTCTAAAATGGGCATATAGCTCTCAGAGGAGTTAGGTTGCGCATTAAAGGAGTGCATGAATGCTTAGCAAGGTGCTGAGTAAGTAGTTCGTCCCTTTAGACTTGCCTTCCACAGGGCGCTGGGAAATGGGGCAGAGTGGGTGAGCTTACACCCAGGAGCCCACATATCTCGGGGTGGATAGTTACCTGTCGCTCATTGCCTGGGTGTCTTTGGGAAAGTCAACAACTCTCCAATGTGCTTCCACATCTGGAAAACAGAGAGTATCACGCCCACCTCACCGGGTCTCCGTGAATCCGACAATAAATACGAAAGAGCCAGGCACACAGTAGGGCCTGTCAGTGCAGGCTTGCTTTCATCTACCTCTAAGCCAGAGATTTGCATCCAAGCGTGGCTCTATCAGGCAGGGGACACACCTGGACGATTGCCCCGGGGGTGCCTCCGGGGTAGGAAATTTTATGTCTGCCTTATATAGAGAAGGAAACTGGGGTTAACTCTGACGGGTGCTCTCCCGGAAAGTCTGGGCCACTAACACCAAGAACTGCATCACGATCTATCCAAGGTTCGGCCTGACCTTCCCAGAATTTGGGTGGGAATTGGGAGGCAGAAGCATGGCAGCTGGAGGAGGCATCCCAAATTGTTTCTGGAAAGAAGTATCCAGAGGTGACAACTTGTGATGCAGTAGGAGACACAGTTAATTGGGGCCCACTCTGGATTTCTTTATCCTGTGCTTTCTGTAGTCTCGTACATTCCCGGGGGTTTCATTTCACAGGCCCAGCTCTCTTTGCTTAGATTGGAGATTCTTGGATAGGATTTTCAGCCTTAGAGCCCTTAAGAGCCCCACCGTGATAAAACTACTAAAACCCAGATTGAAAACCAGTGTTATAGTAACCCCCCAAACTCATCCTTTCCTTCTCTCCAGTGCGTGAACGGGAGGATAGAGTCTGTTCCGACTTCCAGATGTGCAGTGTGATGGCTAATTGCTAACAGAATCTACAGTATCAGTTTGCTTCCTCCCTGCTAGGAACAAGAATATTCCATCATCACAGTTTGCACTTCAGGTTGCCAGTCAAAGGCTCTGAGAAGCTGGGCTGACAAGGGTGGTGATGCGGACCTCCCACCTCCCACCCCCAAGCAGCCCAGAGTTTGGGAGACTCTAGTCCCAGCATCTGTGCCTGTTTTTGCCTTTTAGAGCCTGTGTACGTTCCCTTCCTGATCGTTGGCTCCATCTTCATCGCCTTCATCGTTCTGGGCTCTTTAGTGGCTGTTTATTGCTGCACCTGCTTGAGACCCAAGGAGCCCTCGCAGCAGCCAATCCGCTTCTCGCTCCGCACCTATCAGACGGAGACCCTTCCCATGATCCTGACCTCCACGAACCTCAGGGCACCTTCCAGGCAGTCCAGCACAGCCACCAGCTCCAGCTCCACAGGGGGCTCCATCCGAAGGTTCTCCTTTGCCAGGGCAGAGCCAGGCTGCCTGGTGCCCTCACCACCCCCGCCTTATACCACAGGCCACCCAATCCACCTGACCCAACCGTCCGGTTTCCTGGTGTCACCCCAGTACTTTGCTTACCCACTCCAGCAGGAACCACCACTGCCTGGGAAGAGCTGTCCAGACTTCAGTTCCAGTTGACAGGCCATGCATGGCTACAGATTCACCGCGTAGTGCAACGGCAGACCCACGGACGCTGCTGTCACGGCCACCAGGATTTCTGAGGAAATTTCCCTTGAACCCAGCAATGTCATGGAGAAAAGCGCAAGGAAAATACAGCACCTTCTAATCTTGAGGTTCCTGGCTCCAGTCGCAGAATGGCTGTTAGAGAATCGCTTTCTGTCTTTGAAAACATGGTGACTATTACATTTCAATTTATGTTACTTTTATTCAAAATAGGCAGCAGTCCGACTTTAAAGTTACAAATTGGCTGAAGATGTTTTATTGGACAACTCAGCTATCCTGCTTAGAAAAGGCCTACGTTGTTCTTTTTTCATTATAAGTTGTGTAGTGAGTGATAATACAAATATATACATAAATAAACCAAGAAATATACCTGATTGTAATTATTGAAGGTTCACTTAAAAATTAATTGCTAAGTAAACTGAGGGGACAGTGAACAACCTATTTATAATTTGGGGAGCAACTTAACTGTGAATAATATTAGCATCATGGGAACAGTTACTTTTTAAATTAATAGCTAAATTTTGTTTAAAATATAAGAGCGTCTTGAGAATACAAGATTTCAATAACCACATGAGAAGTTTAACATTTTACATATTTACTTAGATATTCATTGTAACAGAGATCTTTTGTAAAAGCATTTCCCCCACCCACCCGAGGGAGTATTTATTGCAGACTTTTTGTTCAGCAACATTTAGTGTTTAAATGAAAGTTGGACAGTTGGTTCTTAAAACATTTATTTGTAAAATGACTTATGTACAAATGTAAAGATTTGTAATTTAATGTATTTACCACATTGACGGTACTAATTAGTAGTCGCACTGTAATTTTTTATGTTAATAATAAGTGTGGAGTTCAAAGTCCAGCTTTGGCTATAATCATCTGATATTATGTATCTTAAGTGCCACTGAATTCCATGTCTGATGACTAAATATTTGGGCATATATATATCCTGCTGGATTAGAATAAATAAAATCTTTTATGTTTTCGTGAAATCTCTTTGAAAGTTTAGATCAAAGTGCTTCATTTTATCGTCTTAATGATACTCTTTGCTATTCAATAAAAGGAAATGTCTTTGCCTAACACTTCATAATTTGAAATGAAAAAAATCCTACACTGATTTTGAATTGCGTTAGAAAGCTATTTTTTGCAGCGGGACTCCTGAAAGCAGCCAAGGAAGTGAATTTTTATGGAGGTATCAGCCTGTGGGCTTCAGCCCTCGGATGTGTTATTTGCATAGATTTAAAACTTGGGACATTTCTCATAAGAATCTGAGTTTTGGCTTCTCGTGGCAGGAAAAGGTGCGGCACCAAGGGTCCTGCTCTGGCAGGGGGTCAGGAGGTCCTTTTCAGAGAGGACAGTTGCCCTTTGCCAGCCTCCTGCCCGGTCTCCCCGACCTGGCTCATCTCCTTCAGTTTTGTTGCCTCCTGTCCCTTACGGATGTCCTTTGAAAACCCAGGTTTATATGAATTCATACTATCATATGACATCCTCAACAGCTCTTGTCAAATACAGCTACTTAGCGGTGGAAGTCTGACCTAGGGAAAGTCATCTGGCCTTGCCCTTTGCTTTCTAGTTGAGGAAACAAGTTGGAAGATACTATGCCTTTGCCCACTCGGATGGCAGAGGAGCTCTGACTTCTAGTCCCCTGCTTTCAATGAACAGTGGCCTGACTTCCAGGTATCCCAGGATAGCCCCAATAATCCAGGAATAAAGGGAAGGCAGGAAGGGAGAGCGGGAAGGAGGGAGGGAGGAAGGAGGGAAGGAGGGAGGGAGGGAGTAAAGGCTGAATGTGAAAGGATAAACATTTGTGAGAAGTTCTGGAACTCACTCCTGTGTTATTAGGCTGGCTTTATTTATGTTTGTTAACATTCTGCTCCTTTGATATTTTAAAGTGAATCTTTACTGGGCTTTTATGACCCAAACACTATTCTAAATATTTACATGTACTAACTCATTTTATCTGTAAGCAATGCAACAGGGAGGTATTACAATTCCTATTTTTATAGATTTGGAAACCGAGGCATGCAGGAGTGTAGTAACTAGCCCAAGGTCCGGCAGCTAGTCAGTCCTGGAGCTGTATGCATAACCATATTCAAACAGCAAGGGAACAGGTTTGCTACACTGGCAACTCACACCCCAGAGGCGCTCTGCTGTTAATGTGATGTTTTTTCCAAATGAAGCAAAGTTTGGTCTTCTTTTGATTTGCCACAGTTGTTTCATATCTGGAAAATTCAGTGTATGTTAAGGCAGTGGGGAAAACACTCTTTCAGTACGATGGGATTAGGTTTTTCCACCGAAAGGAATGGAGGGACATTTCAAAGTCATGCCCCTGGACGTCAAATCTTTGTTGGGTGGACTGTCCCATGCATTGTAGGATCTCTGAAAAACAGAAGTTCCATATTTTGAAAAGTAGTTATGCAAATAATGGGTAACATTTATTAAGAACCATGTGTGTGCTGTATGGCGTGTATCACTTAATCTTCACAAACCATAAGTCGGGACTATTATCACACCTATTTTGCAGCTAAAGAAAGCAAAGCAGAAAGGTTGAACACTGTGCCCAAGGTCAACAATAACAGAGCCAGGATCTGAACCCAGGCAGTCTGCTTTGAAACTCTACATTAACTTTATGGCATGTGCCTAGAAGGCCTAATTTTCTCAGGAAAAAATTATCCAACCTACTTTTCAGAAAATCTATCTGGGGAGGAGTGATTGACTGTAATATGGTACATACCCTGCAGATAGAGGGGATTGTAACCATCAATAGGATTGGTGCTACATTATAAGAACATAGACTAATACAGAGCACAAGTAGAAACACTAGAGGACAAACATTTCTCCCTTTATACCTGAGACACTTGAGAGAGCAGAGGGTGATTTAGATGGATTTTGGAGTCAGAGTGTCTGGGTTAGTTTCCTGGGTCTGTTTCCCATAAGCTGAGTGACTTTGGGCAACTGACTTTACATCACTGTGTCTCAGTTTTCTCATTTGTGAAATGAAGATGTTGATGGTACCCTATTGCTGAGGGTTGTCTTGACGAATCAGAAGTCAGAAGCACTCTCAAATCACTTGCAATCTAGAGGGTAGGGAGCTGTGTAGTAAGTCCACGATACACAGTAGAAAGCAGATGAAATATCCCAGCATATAAATGCAGGACTGAGTTCTGTGGGAGGGCAGATCCAACGCTGATTGGAGTGCAGGGGACAGAGAAAATGGCCCGACGGTTTGATAGAGTTAGTCCCTGGTAATCCATGGGCTCCTTTGATACCTGGCCAACTTCTCCTTATTAACTGCGACAGAGCACCCTCCCACCCTGCACTCATGGCCTGTGGATTTATTTTATCATCTGCTTTAGAAAAATGTATTTAATAAATTTGCTTTAAAATGGTTATTCACTCCAAACCCAACACATTGTATTTTTAGTTGTCCAAATGCATAGGTGTTCCCTCTTATTTTCCCACCTGTTTCTTTTTCATTGATGTTATTCTTAGCTATTCCTCATGGTGGAGAATTTGCCAGATTGACTTAAATCTATAGGAAATTTTCTCTCTAAAACCAGATAACCAAAAAGTTTCCTGAAAATATATACAATCACAATTAGGAGTATGATACATTTCACTGGGTCCAGATCAGTTTACCTGTGCATAACCTAAAAAGCTTATTTAGGATATGTTCAGGAAAAATAAGGATTTACTTACTTAACTGTTAAGGGAACAAACTGTCCCATATTTTTATGTATAACACTTTCAAAATTGCAATTAAACAGTTATTAATGAAATTATTCGGACAGAGAATTTTTTATTTGAATTGCTGGTTATATAGTTTGTACTTGAAATAAAGACTGAACAGTAAAAAAGATTTCATTTGCCAACAATTTTTATTAGCTTTTTAGTGAAATGATCCAGGTTCGGAAGATCTTTCTTCACTAAAATGAGTGGCTCTGTATTACTGAAATGGAAGGTTTAGGTCTGAGATGCCATAAGCACATAAAAACAAACTTTAAATGGGGATGACGCATTGAATTTATGGGAATGTATTTCAAGTTTGCTGTTTCCTTATGGTGGTATTAGATGACAGTGCTTATTTTAAGGGGGATGGAGTTGAATGTGAAAATATTTGACATAATTCACAGGTAACTTTTCTGAACACTGTTTTGCTGTGGTTTTGCATGGGGGGGGGGACCCACACTCAATCGTTGCCCTTGGAAAGGCGGTGGGAAAGGAAGTCGGGCCCCAGACAGCAAAGCACACACTGCCCCTCGCTCTTATGAAACCAGAGGCTGCTCACATTGCTTGCCCAGCGCTTGCCTGTGAACTAATCCTGTTCTAGCAGTTTTCCAAATTGCATTTCAGTTCCTTTTACCAAACAATGGTTATTTTTGATTAAGCTCTTGTCCACGTTTCCAATGTTTCCTGTATTTTTGTCTCACGTGGCAATTTTAGTATCTTCTGGTTTTACTTCCTTCAAATTTTATTAGCTAAATGCGGCCACTTTCTCATATACTTAAAAAATTTCGGTGGGTTTAGAAAACTGAAGACATTCATGCTATGTGAAAGGAAGGAGCCGTGAATTAGCTGTTGACTTAGAGGCCGATTTAAATCTGTAATGAGGACAATCCTGGGAGGCTTTTCTGACTGAAGAATCAAAATTAAAATAAAATTTTATTTTAAAAATTGTTTTTTTGATACTTAATTATCAACACTACCAGCTCATACAAAACTAGAGCTAATATACCCCACTTTATGTTGGGTTGAATGGGATTACAATGCAGGGATATTCTGTATATCACTGGGGTTGTAAACAAAACGTTAATATTGTTATTAAACAGATACACCTTCTCAGACTATAGTTAGAGCAGATTTGAGGGTTTTATAAAGCAATATAGTTTCTAAAACTAGCAATTAAATCTTGAACAATTTTCTTTATGTAATGGTAAAGTTTATTTCATTTTTAACAACAATCAGAGAACAAAATGTTTAAAATTTGCCGTTTAAAACATGCACATTCACAAAAGGCCAATGACACATAACACTGCATAGAATTGAATATTACTCGACTTTAATAACTATTTATAAAACAGTGCATTGAACATCGAGATAAACACACCTGAGAAAACTACTATAATCACAGATTCAATACTCTCCACTCATGCAGCTTCACAATTTCTACAGCAGTTTCAGCAGGAATGGTTTTTCATGGAGTTGAAAATACTATTTTATCTTTAATGCAAACTGCAATTTTCCATAGTAGCTGCCTTCCAAGGCTGCTTTTTTTAACCTAATAAACTTGAAAATGTGAAAAATGAAGCTTGAAGTAGTAAGACAAACAACAAACAGTATTTACTGCATTTATGGCT